TTTTCCCAACTTCTTCCTCTGGAGGCAGATTTCGCTGAAAATTTGTCTAACGGGTTAGTTTCAACTCCTGAAGATGCATTATTGCCTCTATGGCCGCAAGAATGGTTTTTGTTGCTTGAAACTAATTTTATGAAAGCCAGATGAGAATGTTTGCGCAGAATTTGAGTTATATCAATGCAACTGTCGGACAGTGGCACCTTCCCACAACAGCGTGCTTTCCGCGACGCATTGACGTGGACATCGCCGTCCACGCATTAAGTGATATCGTAATATTCCTTGTTCAGAGGGGGTGAAACTACCCTAGGGACACTTATTTTCAGCTAATGTTAGCATTAGGTATTTTGACGCCGGCGCCTTTGCGTGGGCGGCCCGCAGCCTCCGCGCAAGCGACCTGTGACCTAGTCGTGTTCACTGGCGCCAAACTCCCTACGAGGCCAAGCTTCCAACTAATTCGGTGGTTTACGGTATTTTGGCGCCGGCGCCTGTGGCTCGGGCGCCAGGTAGTTCGTGCCAAGCAGCTGTGCTATTCATTTCAGGAGGACAACGTACACCTCGCTAGGGAGCACCTTTACGGCGAAACCTGTGCTGTCGACGTCTTTATTCTGAGAAGATAAATAAATAAATAAAATAAAAATAAAAAAAAGATAATACTGAGGCAGACACGCATTTCTGGCCCCCAATCCGTCCCATGAGACAGACTGGCTGTCAGCCACCACTGTTTGCCATCGTCGTCAACGGTTAAAAACCAATACGCAAAAGAAAAGAAGGGTGTTGTGCAACTTTTTAGTACGACCTAAAGACATACGTGTACTTCGCAGAAAAGAGAAAAAAAGATGGAAGCTCAAAAGCTGAGGAAGGTTTTGGGGATGAACGATCCCAAAGTTCGTAGAATGATGGGTTGTATGACAACGCCAGGCGACGTAGTGGAGCATTGATCACTGGGGGACTGGCCCCGACGGGACAAGTTGTGTCTCTGAAACGGACCCGAGTCGTTTGGATAGGTGAATTGGCTAGAATTCAGAGAGCTCTACTCACTGAACACAACGAGGCTCGCGGCGCGACGAATTGTTTTCATATAAGCAGCGATTTGACTACCAGCGAACTGACTTATTTATTATTTTTGACTAATCCGAGGTGTTTTGAAACTAGTGAAAAAGATAAAGATGTGGGAACCCACCTGAAAAATTTCCTCAGAACCATGCATGGTTTGCTTGAGCTAGGACACGCCTAGGCAATAGCACATATATTCTGGATGAGACCCTCTCCACCAAATACTATCCCTTCCCATGTGTTGGGTATTTCCCATGAAGCGTGCTGGTTTGAATACAGGGTGCGTTAAGGGCACTGGCGCGCTCCAATCACAATGCCTCGACGCAGCCGCAGGAATCGGTTTGAAGACTGAATACAATCGTGAAATGTTCCCTTCCTCTTTTGTGGTCCTTCTTCCTTCTTTTGTTCTTGATCTCTTCCGTTTTCCTCATTAGTCTCCCTTCGAATGCCTCTCCAGAAACGCAATGGAGAAATGCTTCTGAACCCTCTAGCAGAGGAATACCCAGTTGAGAACACAGCTCGACATGCTGCGATTAAGCAAATAGTTGTCCATAATCTTTTCTTACGGAGATTTTTGTCTGTGTTACTGTATAGTATTACCACCGCTCTGAAATATCAAGTACTGACGCCGTGGAGATGTTTTTGTTTCATTTTTCCCAGGTTTTTTCGCAAAACCTTGACGAGAAGGCCTGCTCATACATGTGTTGCGCATTCTAGCTTTGAGCTCTTCCCCTATGTCCAATGTTTCTACTCTTTTGAGTATTTCTCCTATTCCTTTGGTGTCCGTTGAAGGCTTGTTGTGAACAAGTGAACCTGGCTGAAAGTCACCTCTTTCAATGCTATGTTCGTTTTTTGATGCTCTTGGCCCATTCTGTAGCTATTTTGTTGGAGTTCTTTCCTGCTCACGAGATGTTTTCAGCAACTGTGTTGTTGTCTCTTACGTTCACTGTTATCCTTAGGAGGAAAATAAAAGAACGCTGCGTTAATCAGTCTGGAACAGAGAATCTGGTTTCCATTCAACTTCACTGTGGTATTGAAATGTCCGTAGGGAGAAATGTTTCTTGGGGGCAAGGCAGTTCATTATCCATGTTTTCTCCAACAACTCAGAACCAACTTGTTTTCAGTCTCCATGAAATGAGGATATTTTTTGGTCTCTGTAAGATGTGATCCTCGCATCACTCGTGTAATATTTCCGCCACTATCCTCACTTTGCCGTTCTTATGCGGAGAATTATTGAAAGAATTAACAAAAAAGAAACAAGGCATCAATCATGATTACCGGGTAGCTTGCTTCTTCTTTCCCTGAAAGTGTGAGAATATGCCGATAATTGTTATCAGGGACAATGGATTTAGCTGGTAGCAGGTGGACCTTGATTTTTTATAACTTCGTGGATGTTGTTGGGACGAGAAATTCGCAAAATAAGATACCTTTCGGAATTTCCTCCTCTGGTACGACCTCTTCCCATCGCCATTCTATTTTCCTAATTTATCCCAGCTTCCTTCCACTTTTCTCAATTCCCTTTCCAATTCCCCCGGTCCCTCTTTTCGTCCGAAACAGCCGTCGCCCCGGGAGGGGGAGGGGTGAGCGGGATACATAATATAATATATAATGTATAATGCAGGAAAAACTGAGAGAGTCGGCAACTCAAAACGATTTCCCTCAAAGACGAGTACGACCACCCTCCCTCTCACGACCAGTTGCAATCCTCGCTAGGGATCTCCAACGAACGTATAAGTATGCCCTGGTAGGTGTACTTGCTGCAGAGCGAGTAGATTATGTAAAACATTTACTTTCGAAATTTTCGTCAACTCCTTTGCCATTCAGTGTGCGGTCCAGTCGTGTTGGGCGGTACATCAAACTTGTCCATTTAAACAATTATACTATCTGATGGTGTAGAATATCATAGCAAAGAATGAATGAGGTTTTCTGTTGCTCTTTACACGTGCTTAGTGTTTTCAACTTCTTGAATGACTTGTCAGAAAAACTTGAAAAGACGTAATATACTTTCAAGAAACTTGTGCCCGCTAGTAGCTTGACCAGTGTGTGCAGGTATCGCATCTCCTCGGTCCAAACAAGTCTGACACCAAAACACAAATCACCAGGGTCCGCGTCTTGTTCCAGATCCAGCTGGAGCAAGACGCGGAACCTGGTGATTTGTGTTTTGGTCTTCTAGCACATGACAGAGCACCACGTTGCGTGAA